TAGTTTTTAAAATATATTGAGAGAAAATATCATTAAATTTCATTCAAAAGTTCATTCCCCTTTTAATGCTTTCTATAATAGATGGCATTATCTTACATTGTTAAGTATGCATGCTCTTTATTAATTGCTATTTCTTTTGATACTAGCATTATTATCTTTCATGTATAGTAGTTACATAAGCTATTGCAAAAATATTGTGCTATATTAATAGAATCATAACAGTTAGTATGAGACCATTCAACTGTTCTCAGTAATAAATTTACAATGATTTTGTATCTTGTTTCTAGCTAATTGAAATATGTATAATAATAAAATCTCAGAAGAATTTTTAGATTTTGTTATTTCATTTGACTCATCTAACTTGACACAATAAACTTAAGATCTGTAGTATAAATCTTATTATAATAAAGATATAGGCAGGTCAATGGATTAGTATATATAAACTGGACAATAATGCCTTATTAAATGGAAAATTTTCCAGTTTCTAATTTACATATAAGTTTAGTTTCATTTTTGATATTAATGATAAAGTTTATTTTGAAGACATATAAATTATTTTCAATAATATTGTATCATATTTCACAAAAGAGAATTTGGTTTTCTTCCTAGAATTCTTTATACTTCTTCTCTGGTGACCTTACCCAGTCTCACGGCTTTAAATATAATACGTGTGCTCACTACTCAGTTTTTGTCTTCAGCTCAAAATTCTCTGCTGAGCTCCCAACTTGTGTATCTAGTTGCCTATTCCTGTGGTCCCCAACCCCCCAGCTGCAGACCAGTACTGGTTTGTGGCCTGTTAGGAACCAGGCCACACAGCAGGAGGGGAGCAGCAGGCAAGAGAGTGAATCTTCATCTGTATTTACTGCTACTCCCCATAACTCACGTCACCTGCTGAGCTCCACCTCCTGTCAGATCAGCAGTGGCATTAGATTCTCATAGGCATGCAAACCCTACTGCAGACTGCACATGCAAGGGATCTAGGTTGCGCACTGCTTATGAGAATGTAATACCTGATGATCTGAGGTGGAGCTGATGTTAGTCTGGGGAGTGGCTGCAAATACAGATTATCATTAGCAGAGAGGTTTGACTGCAGAATCGATGTAATGTGCTCGAATGAGCCCCAAACTTTCTCTCCCGACCCCCACCCCAAACCCCAACCCCATCCAGGGAAAAATTGTCTTCCGTGAAACCAGTCCCTAGTGCCAAAAAGGTTCAGGACTACTGGTCTATTCAATATCACCACTTCACTTATCAGATATAAACTGTCCCAAACTGAATTTCTTATCCCCACTACCACAGAAAAATAAACAAACCCTGCTGCTATACCTTCCAGACTTCCCATTAATGGCAAATATGCCCTAACATTTGCTTAGTCCAGAAATCTTAGACCTAATCCTTGACTCTGCACTTACCTCACATTTGTCAGCAAATTTCTGTTACCTTCAAAGTATATCTAGAATCTGCCCCTTTCTACCTATCTCCTCCATTGCCACCCTGGTCTGAGCCATCTTCCTTTCTCCTCTGGATTATTTCTTCTTGCATCCACTCTTGACTGCCCACAATATATTCTCATCAGTTTAAGTGAATCTATTGAACAAAAATCGGATCATATCATGTCTCTGCTTAGAACTCTTCAATAATTCCTCATTTTTTCCAGAGTAAAATCGAAGTTCTTACACTGGCTTGTTAGGCCCCATACAGTTGGTTCCTCACACTGCCTGCCTTCTCTGATTCCATCACCTACTACTCTTAGCCTCCCTGGCTCTCTTGTCTTTTCCCAAACACAGAAGGAACCATCTGTCCCAGAACCTTTGCACTGACTGAAACATTTTCTCTATATTATCTGTGGGACCCAATCTCTCACTTCCTTAAAGCCTTTGCCTCCTTCTTCTTGAGCCCTTGTTCTCCCCCACTTGAGATTTTAACCCCCTGACCCTTACCATGCTCTGTTTATTCTCCATAGTACTAGTCAAATTCTAATATACAATACTGTGCAACTTATATATTTATTTTGTTTATTTCCTTTGGTATTTTTCCTCCTAGTAAAAGTTCCACAATGTCCCTGAGTTTTGACTGTTTTGTTCACTGTTGTGTATCACCCAATGCACAGAATAGTGTTTGGCAATGACTTTTGCTGAATGAATAATTGCAGGAAGGAATATATTTGTGAAACTCCTTTATGGCATGTGTGTGTATTTGTGTATATGTATATATGCAGTAAAACTGCTAACATAACTTTTCTTTCAAAATATTTTGTCTTAAATTGGGTTAGTATATTACATAGAATCTGTTAGCTAAGGCACATCTGGCTGTCCTTCATTTGAGCTATTTGTGTATCGGGTATTTCTGTATACTTATGTGAAAACAACAAATGTACTTAAAACCACTTTTCAAAATCAGAAATGATCATGATGAATACCTATAGGTTAGTAACTTAGCATAACTAAAAAATATATTATTATTAAACTGGTAATTTAAGAGATAGGCATTTGAAAATTAATTCAAATTTTTAATTTTAGTAATCCCTGACATGTTTAGTGAATTATAAACAGATTGTGATTGTGAATTTCACAAAGCCAAACACTTATTTTAAAAAAAAATGGGTCATTTCACTTGTGCGTACTAGAGTACTATTAGTTCAAGCAATTATGTTTTTAAGATCTTAGAGAGTTCAGAAAATACTTTTCAAAATTCCTTGTGAAATAACATGTACTATTCATTCTAAATAGAACAAATTAAAAACTGAAACTTCTATCAAGTTTTCTATCTTATACATGCAGAAGATAATAACTTGGTGTTATGGATTTATATTCCAAAATAAATATATTGTACATTTGCATTTATAAATGCTAATATTTTTGAAGCTCATATGAATTTTAGGTAAAATGCCAAAAGGAAATATTTACCCAAACCACCTTCTGTTGTTAAAGGTCAGAATGACTTAAAATGAGAGATGGCATTGTTGTACTGCCTGCACTATAATTCGTTTTGGAGACCTTACTTAATAATTAGGTTTTGTTCCATTTTAATTTGAATCTGGTAAGACCGTTCTAAGCTTAGTAGAAACTTTCCTTTCTCCCCTTTTTCTTCTTATTCCTTAAACCTACACTTTTTCATACAATTTAGGATAGAGAAGTAATTAATGTTTTAGGTGAAATTTTATTATCAGGGGGCTATACACCATTTACACTTGGTATTATCCTAAAAATTGTATAGCAGTTGGTCCTTTTAGGATAAACATATCTGTGAGCTTTTGTATGTATTAAAGGGCTTCTTGATAACTGCCCTGGAACCTAACCAACATATGACAGGTTAAGCTTGATGTTATTTCCCAAATTTGATTTTCCTTCTTGTGATAAAAGGTACTACTGCCAAACATTTTCAGTTTATTCTGATGATGAGGATGCTTGTTTCTTCACTGATGTAAATTCAGTCTTATATAGGAGCATATTAGATTTGCTAGCTAATTATTAGTTATATCCAACATGACTCTGAATTGGTAAAAATATAAAACACTGTAATCTTTTAAAGAATTATGTTAATTATACTATATGTAGTGTATTATAATTATTCTGTTATATATTAATTGTGAAAACACCTCTCTTGGGTTCAATTTTCATTGTTAAACTACTCTAAAACTCACATTTTATCTGTGATACCTTTTTTCTATAATTCTAACAGTCACAGATTTTAAGAAAATTTACGTTGAACTCTGAATTCCAGCCAAATAATCTTGTCAGGCCAGAAAGCACAGATCTTCAGCTAGATAAATACATCTCCATTTATTGGACAATTAAATAAAGTGTTGATTCAATCTAATGAAGTTACAAAGGAATTTGTGTTAAACATGTACATATTTGAAGAGCCCCATTTTGACTTTGTGCTGTGAGATTCATTTTTGTAGACTTTAAAACATATTTTCCCTGGAAGGAAATGTAGTTGTTATAGAGTTTGATTCATTTGTATCCAACTTTTGAGTTATTAAATGTAATATTTTCTCAGAGTTTAGCAGGCAAATGAAATTTAAAAGCAACAAATTTGAATATCTGTTACTAAAGAAATGGCTTTATATTTATAGTGTCTTAAGCCATGGTAATTGCTGTCTTCTCTTATTCCATCCAGAGATAATGTGAAGAAAAAACCTTTGTAGTGGATTATGTGCTATTTAGGTGGTCAGCATACTGAAATATTTTCGGAATTGAAACTAAATACAGACCTGAAAAAAGTGATATACCTCTGGTCATATGTTTATTGATTTTTGTGTTCTGACAAAAGGAAAAAAATTGATAGAAATACCTAGAATTCACTAGTAGTTATTAGTTTATGGATTTGTGGCATGTGTTTTTCTTTGGTGTGTAGCTGAAAAGCAGACTGATATCTGAAATGACCCAAGTACTCTTAATGTTCTCTATACCTTGGGTATAATCAGGTTTTTTTACAATAGTATCATGTCTAGATAATTTGTAATTTTATGATGGAGTAGGAAGGAGATTAGCTTATCAAAGTTCCATAATTGACCTTGGCCTAAGTTCAGCATCATATTCACTGCTTAGAATACTATTCACTGAAAGAAGGAAGTTTAGCTATGTTTCAAATGATAGAAAATAGAGTTGTTATTATGATCTTATCTTGCATCTTATTAACCATAAAAAATGTAAAAGCAAAGATATAAATTGGTTAACACATTCCTAAAATATAAAAAACTAATAAAATAGGAACTGTGTATAATACAGCATTATACAGCAACTTTATATTGATATTTGACATATTTTATCCAGATTAAAAACTTTCTTGGTAAGATGCTATTTTTTCCTTTTTTGGAGTCAGCCACTCTATAACTAAGACAGGTTGACTTAAAGGTTAAGGCTTCATATTCCAAGGAGCTGGGGAGAATAGAAGATCTAAAGTATTCAGCACCAACATTCCTGGTTACTTATGTTAGATTGACATTTTCCTTTACATGTAATATGCTTGCTTTGCATTTCTGTTTTTTATTCTAGTCTATGCAAGGGAAACTTTCCAAAGAGAAATTGAACACTCAAAAGATGATGGAAGAGCTGGAAAAGAAAGAAAGAAACCTGCAGAGATTAACAAAAGCATTGCTTGAAGTGAGTAGAAGAAATTTGAATTATTTTGAAAGGATGATTCACTACCTATTTAAGTTTAAGCAAATGCTGATTTCATACGTATTAATAGAATATTTTTAAGTTGGAGACTTGATTTTGATGTGCCAGTTAATTAAATCCATTAGATTTCTTACCAAAATTATCATAAAAGACCAAACTTTATTTTTCTTATCTCATATAATACAATTCCATAGACTTAACTGAAATGTTATACAGTATAAAGATTAGGTTCCAAAGTGAGCAAATAAGACAAATTGAACATAAACAAAGTTACCTGTGAAAATCCTTAAGGTCAGTGCAATGTTGGTACTTCCTTATTAAAACAGATCACACTTTTTAAGTATGAGATGAAGTACTTGTCTTATGTTTAAGGACATATTAAACAACAAAAAATAAATATCTTAGGGTTTTTTTAATTGTGATCATGACAGTTTCCTCCTAGTTTACTTAAGAATGCATCTCCAAAAATTAAGGACATTTTCCTTTATAATCATAACACCATTATGACACCCAATAAAAATAATAATTTCTTGACATTCAATAATACTTAGTCTATATTCAAATTTCCCTGCTTTATCATCAAATGTTTTATCTAGGGACTATTGAAACCAGCATTCAGTTAGGAGTATAAATTATATTTCATTGTTGTGTCTTATAAACAAGATCTTATAAGGGCCCTTTTTCCCCCAGGTTAGTGACTTGAAACTGGGTCTGTTGTCTCATAGACTTATAGGTTGTCACACCTAGATTTGATTACTTCCTCAAGGTGTCATATATCTTGTTCTTTACTCCCTGTATATTTTGTAAGCTACAAGTTAGAGCTAAGGACATCATTAGATTTAGGCTAGACCTTTTTTTGACATGAATACTTTGTAGGTGTTATTCACATCATCAGAATATACAATATTCGATTATTCCACTGTAAGTGACATACAAATATGGAATTCACTGGGGTAGGGTGGTGACAGCCTGTTTCTTTTCCCTTATGAAGTTACAACCTCTGCAAATAGCACATAATCTGTGGGGTGATACTTAGGGGGCCGTATGCAGTTTGCCAGCAGTTTTTCCCTTTGATGGTTTTAGCTACCCATTCATGATCATTACCTGAATCATTAGATGATTGAAAAATGGTGATTTTACAAATTACGTCATTCCTTTCATATTTATTATCTGGCATTCATCTGTAAATGATATTTTCCTTATGATCCCAAGCAATTTGGTTGTTCTGAAATACAGTTCCAATTTGAAAGCTAATTCACCTTACCTTAATTAGCAATTTTCATGATGAGAAGATGACAGTTTTTAGGGTGAAGTGAGGGTAGCTTTTTCTGAGGGTAATAAATCATGAGTTCATATTGTGACTTCCAAATTAATTTAACAATTCAGAGTTGTTGGGGATTTTTTCCTTGTTTGATTTTATATTTGTGGGGTGTTTTTGTGTCTTACACTGGATTTTTTGGTTTCTATCAACAGTAACATAGTATATATGCTTTTTTTCTTAGTAAGCAAAAAATAATTCCAAAGTAACTAAATTACTGTTGCTACTAACAATAAAACTACAGAATGGGGGGGTTTAAAAGTTTTTTGTAGTTCTTTTTATCCTTGAAATAAATCTTAATATAAAAAATACATACACAGCCAAGATGCTCATTATGTGAGAAATCCCTAGAAACCGAAACTGTCTGGATTTATGTTTCCTCTCTTCGGTTTACCCTGGGGCGTCAGATGGCACAGGAACTATTTCTACTATTTAAATTATTTTTCCCCCTACTATGTGTATGCAACTGACTTTGGTTAATGTGCATATGATTCCACTGTTGTGTTTATAGACTTGGGGGAAAATGTTAACCTGTCTGATTTTTTAGTACCTTTCCTGTGTTCTAACGACCTGATTTTTGTTTTCTCTATCCATTTTAGAACCAAAGACAAACAGAAGAGACGTGCCCTGTAATGGATCAGGGCCAGGACACAGACCCATCTAGGCAGCAGACACTTCTTTCCAAACGGCCTCTATTTGATTTGACTGTGATTGATCAACTGTTTAAGGAAATGTCCTATTGTTTGTTTGACTTGAAAGCATTGTGTAGTATTCTTAATCAGCGTGCACAGGGCAAGGAGCCTAATCTTTCATTATTACTGGGAATCAGATGTAAGTGGCTGATGACTTGTCCTTTGTGGTTTGACAGTTAGAAACCTGTATTCATGAAGGAGGAACTTATGTTTATTTTTATCTCCTTTTCTTAGATTTATAAATCTCTGAATCAATCTGTGGGTTTAGACCTGTTACTACTTCATTGCTAGGACTGACCTCAATTATACTTATAGAAGGGAGCAGGGTCAGGGTTGCTATGGACTACACTTGGCAGAATGCCTGCAGATGTTTCCTAGCCTGAATCTGTAAATGAGTGGATGGAGTGGTAGTTAGGTTTGACTTCCCAATTACGTTTTGAAAAGTAATAATTCATGTAGTAGTTGTATAGATTAATGACCCAGCCATAGGTCCACTAGTAAAATATTTGCAAGAAAATACTCGCTTGCTTTCCAATGCAGTGTATGTTTTTTGGCAGTTGCTTATTGTCAGTACCAGTGCTATCACACGAGCCAGTTTTCATGGTCTGCAGATCTATCCCCCTTGTCACACATACTTGCTGGCTTTGTGCTTTTCAGTGTGGCACCCAGTCTCTGCCTCAGTTCTATCTCCCTGAACACATAATTTTGAGAGCTACCAAAGTAATATCCTAGTGTCCTTCCCCTCTGTGCTACTTTTGCAGGAACACTCATCTATGCATGTGGTTCCAAATTAGATAATATCAGCATATTGGTCTCTTTTTAATAGAGAAGAAATGGACTTCAGTAAGGAGATAAGAATAGAGTAGGGACCACATAATAGGTTTATGAACCAACATTTATATTAACTAGCTGCCTAATAATATGGTTAATGTATGACTAGAAAAGGGACTGGTTTTGTTGGCAGTTTAATCAAAAATATTCCACCGTTTTGCATCATAATTATTTTGGCAAATCAAATAATGCTCTTGATCCAAGTATATCACTGGTTAAGTAAAACATGTTCTCTGTGCTCAATATCAGCAGAATTTTCCCTTTCACTTCATAGATATGTGTATGTATGCTTGTAAGTGTGGATATATAAAAAGCACTTAATGTTTGCATATATTCACTCAGTCAGTAAACATTTATCGGATGCCTTCTGTGGTCCAGGTACAAAGTTAGGTGCTGATAATGCAGATAAAATGAACACAGCCCATGCCACACATTAATCAGATAATTAGAGAATTGTGATAGGTGCCGTAACAGATGTGGACAAAGCACAATGAGCACACAGGGAAAAATACCAACTAAATCTACACAGGAAGGGCTGTGAAGGTTCCATGGAGTAGCTGGTGTTTAGTGTGGGTCTTAGAGAAGGAAGAAGAGAAGTTTGCCAGATGAGGATGTAGTGATTTAGAACTGATCTCTTATTGGGCACAGTAGCTCACCCCTGTAATCTCAGCTACTCAGGAGGCTGAGGATGGCTTAAGGTCAGGAGTTTGAGACCAGCCTGGGCAACATAGTGATACATCATCTCTAAAAACATGAAAGGAAAATTAGTTGGGTGTGGTGGTGCACACTTGTAGTCCCAGCTACACAGGAGCTACATTTGAGCTCAGCTACACTTGAGCCCAGAAGTTCCAGGCTGCAGTGAGCTATGATCCTGCCACTTCACTCCAGGGAGGGCAACAGAGTAAGATCCCATCTTAAAAAAAAAAAAAATCTGACATGTTAGCAGCAAGAAATAAAAGCTCACACATAAAGGAACTCATTTTCTCCATTTTAGAGCTGCTCACCCCTTCAATTGTTTTGTAACCTTCTATATTTCACTATCTAGATAGAATTTGTTAACTTTTTCAGTTATAGGGTACTAGAGCTATCCTAATATGAATAAAAGGAGATCAAGAACTGTACCACCTTTACCTCCCAATGTATATTGCTTCTGGTCCTCAAAGTTCAACCCCAGAATCCCTACCTTATATTTGGCATCATGAAAATTTGACCAGCCAGCTAATTTGTCAAAAGCCAATGAATTCTTTTGAATCCTTGTGTCATGACTCCATCTGTTCACTCCACACCCCTTCTGAAAACGCTCTGCTGCTTGGTTTCCATGACATCATTTTCCAGATTCTGCTTCTGCCTTTATGACTGCTCAGTCTCAGTCTTCTGTAGACTCTTTGCCACTTTTTATTGTTATCCCAGGAACATTTTATTGTCGGTTTTTGTTTGTTTCCTTTTATTGAGTAATCTTATCCACACTCTGTTTTCTATTATTGCTATACCTTTCACCCATATAGATATTTACCTCTTACCCTGCCTAAAATGTCTTTTCTGGGCTCCTGATTATATCCACCTATATATTAGAACTAGCTGCTTCATAGGCATTAGATTCAACATGTCCAAAACTGAATCCACTTTTCTTCCTTCCCTAAACCTCTGCTCCTCCTTCTCAGTGAATAGCACCATCATTCATCTGTCACCCCAGCCCAGATTTTATCCTTCACCCCGTTTTGTCCTTCATTTGGGACCCATGTCCTAATCCCTGATTCTTACCCAAACCAATAGTGATTGAACTCTATCCATTCTATCATCCCCCTACTATGCCTAACATTTATTCCTTCCATTATATCTCCTTTGCACTGTTGCCTTCAAGTTTTCATAGCCCCTTACCTGGACTTGTCTGTCTGTCAACCATCTTGCTCACCCCCTCGCCCTAGTCCATTTTACACTGTTGTCAGAGTGATCTGTCTAAACCATGAATCTGATATCCTATTACTTACACTCTTCTGTGATGAGATAGGTAGCTCTTATCCACCTCTGCAGCCTTATTTCTTGGCACTCTCCCTTCACATATTTATTCTCTACCATTTTAGAGCTAGTTATTGATTTACCTGAGGTTTCTCAAGCTCCATCAGGCTATTTTGTTTTCTGTCTCCACACCTTTATTCATTCTGGTTCCTTCCGCCACCTGATGAACAAGTAACTGTTGGCCTTTCCAGTTAAGCCTAGTTATTTGTTCTCTTCCTTTTGTGCCACTGCAGCTTGTGTGTATTGGTAGGCCACCTACAATATGTCACTGTGTTCATTTGTTCATGAAATTGTGTGTTAAGTATTGAGAACAAGACACTGTATATGACTTTGCTGACCTCAACATCTAGCATAGTCTCTGGATTGTGGCAGATGTTCAATTACTGTTTGTTAAAATAACATTATCTGACTCTCATGCCTCCAATAAACTGTCAGGGCCAGTGAAGATATAAGGAAAGGTCTATTTCACAGTCACTGGCTCTGCCTGCTTTTATGTTGAGATATGCTTGCTTACAAAGAGAGGAACTGAAATAAATAATTAAAACCTAGCTGAATTAGGACTCTCAGTTATTCAGCTACTGGGCAATTAGCTATCAATCGCCCAGTGCTTCAGTTATTTAGCATTATAGGGTTCCAACTCTAATATTCTACCCCTCTCCCACTCTACCTCCTCCCTCTCTCCTTTCTCCCTCCTTCCCACCCCTCCCTGCCCCTTTCCCCTTCTCTCTCCCTTCCTCTTTCCCCAACTATTCTCCTTTTCTTCCCTCCCTCCCTCTCCCTCTCTCCTTCTGTCTTTCTCCATACATATATATATACACACACTTACAGTATATTTTGAAAATTAATATTTTCATGCCAATAAACCCATTTTGCAATCATAAAAATTTATGATGCCACTTCTCACTACACAAATGATTTTCAGATTTTGTCAAATGGGAAAAACTGAGTGCCCTAGTTGAGCCTATAGAGAGACATTAGAATATGTTCTTTTTTACTTTTGGAATATTGTCATCCATTAAAAATGTCGAATTTGTATGTATCACTGTATGAATTTAATGCATTTTAAGTAGCCAAATTTTAAAAGGACCAAATAGATAAGATCTATTTAATATTGAATGATACATAGGTTAAACCTGAGCCTCACTGCTACTCAGAATGTAGCATTATATTTCTATGATCATTAAGATGAAAATCCTAAAATGTCTTTGTTCAAAAAAATGTGAGACATTCTCTCTTTGCTTTATTTACACAGCAATGAACTGTTCAGCTGAAGAGACTGAGAATGACCACAGCCCAGAAACACTCAGTAAAAAATTATCAGATGTGTGCCAGTTACGGAGGGACATTGATGAATTAAGGACTACAATATCAGACCGCTATGCTCAGGACATGGGAGACAACTGCGTTACCCAGTGATCAAGTGTTGGTCCCACAGCAATAATGACCCATTGTTAAGTGCTGCTGCATTACGGTTCTTCACATTTCTCTTTAGGAGCCATAATGGAAAGTTGCAAGTGACATATGACTGCACATAGGTTGTTTTGTTCTGTGGATTTGTTTCATTGAGGGGAAAAGTGGATATGACGAGGTTTTAAAAAGGCTTATCAGGCAAAAAAAAAAGAATCAAATTACCTTTGAAAAATATGATAAAGTCTACAAGAAAAAAAAAAAGGTCTGTATTTTCAAACTACTGATTATAGGACCAAGCTGTGAAGAGTACCCTTCAGATAAAGGGATAGAATTTCTGTTAATCCTATGGTTTTGTGTGTTTGTGCATGTACGTGTGTTTTGTGTGTGTGCGTGCTTTATTCACAAAATTATATGGGTTTCTAGGGTCAAAGCAAAGTTTCTGAGAAAGGCACACACTGTTTACTCTTATATTTCTTTCATATTAAAGTTTTTGTTGTACTTTGGGATTTTCAGAGGCTGGCTGAACAAGAGTTCCAACAGCAGGCAAGTGTTCTAATAGAAGTACAGTAGGCAAAAGCATTTGTATTTTGGACAATCAGTGTGCTGAGATGATGAGGTTGTGGGCATGGGTTGATTTTAGTACTGCAGATAGATCAGCTGTTTTTCCAGAGTGGTTGTGGATTCTCTCAGAGGGCTGAAATTTTGATGTGATGATCTTTTTCAATAGCATTATAATTTATGTATTATAAGGAAGTTTAACATAATTTGAACTAATTTAAAAATATCCCTTAAATTTACAATTTTTAATTTATATTTTGTGTATCAATGTAAACAAAGCCATACATAATTAATGCAAATCTTCTGAGGCTTCAGATAATTATTGTGAGAGGAAGATTAATGAAATGACTCTGGAACAATAGCTTATTTATCTAAATCTCAACATTTACATTTTAACAGTTTTGTATCTGTTTTAAAGTTGAAACTACTTTAAGAGAAAGCCAACACATATTCTTTATATCTGAACTAACACTAGCACAAAACAAAATAAAACATAGATATTTTAATTTCTTTTATTAGATAAGTACATTAACAACGGAGTTTTTTTATAGAATATGAACTTGGCCAGGTTATTTGTTTATCTGGAGTACAGGGTATTACTCTGAAGTGAAACTGTTTTTTAAGTAGATATATAATCATTTAAACTTCCAATGAGTATTGTCCATGTTTTAGTTGGTATTTTGGAAGAACTATATATTTTCTTGCCTTCAGAACATTCATTACATTCTTTGAATATACTTAATTGTGGCAAAACTTGTCCTTTTTCAATTGGCTTGATTTCTTGATGCAACCAAGTCTTCATTTAGGGCAAGACTAAATATTAGTAAAAGGTGGAAGGATACAGGGTGTGAATCAAGCAGGATAATACTGATAAGGTCAGAGCAGATCACATGTCTGTTTTCTTGCCAGGCTTATATAGTGGTATAAAGGCTGCTCCTAGAAAATATTTTTCTTAAATATTTTTAACAGTGAAAATAAGTGAGACAAGGCCTTCTTGGAGGCTATCCAGGAAGATACTCAGTTCAGAATTTTGGCGTATATACTGCTCTCAATAAATTGTTTTATAATTCTATTTCAGCAATTAGTTATAATACATTGTAAAGACATCAAATTTCCCTTCTGTGCAGTGCCTGAGTCCCCGTTGCTCTTCTTAACTTCTTAGCATCTGGGCACTAAGAAATCAGTGCATTATAGTGATTCAGCATCCCAAGGTCCCTAACCTAAGGAGGGTATTAGTTACTGGTAAGAACTTGGCTTTTGATGGGTCATTTCTTTTTTAATGTTAGTGGTTTGAAGACAATCAGGGTATAATAAATTTGTACCAAAAATATGATACAAAGAATTCTGCCTTGCAAAAAATTAGTATCTGTGAAATGATCCTTTATACTAAAGTATTAATAGATAATAACATCAAAATAGATCAGCCACAAGTACGGCAAACAACATTTTTGCATTCTCTTTGAATACAATCCCAACATTCCCCCATGATTTTGGAAATAGAGGCACCCTAAAATAATAGAACTAACTGGCAGACAGTCACCAATTTGGATGAGTAGTCTATTAAATATATCCTAGGTTTTTGGTGTATGTTTTTGGTTTTATGATTGTTGTTTTATGGTCATTTGTTTTAATCTGTAGATTAATTTTTGTTTTCTGGTTTAGTTGGGATAAAGTAATTTTTTATTCATTTTAGTTAGTATTCTGAAACTTACAGAATTAAACTTAGTTCACATATCTTGAGGTAAAAAAAGTTTTAACTTAGTAGGAAATTAACTCCTACTGATGCATTTCAGTTTGAAAATTGTGTCTTTCCCATAAAAAGGGGAATTAAGATGTGATAGTTTAAGTATAACCTTGAATTATAAAATTGAATCTCTTGGAATCTGGAGTTTGTAATGGGGCCTCCAGTGGATAGCCTTGGAAGGAATTTGGGGAGAAGTGAAACCAGTAATATTCTAATATGTCAGTATTTAAGTTTTGATTTTTATTTTTCAGAAAATTCCCCTTTCTCAAGACACTCTATTGGATTAGAATAGTAACAACATTGGTATCATATTGAAAAGAGGGATGTTACCAAGTAAGATGGGCAAGTGAACTAGGATATTCATCGAAGTTAGGGTAGCAAAATATGCCTAAAATGAAAATTAACCTAAATTTTAAAGAACATCTATTTGAAAGTTTCCTTAGATAATGAAACCTCTTTTTAATTATGATTTTGTGGATTAAATGTCCTTTTAGGAAGCATCTCATGAAGTATTAATATTAATTATTGTTGTTTGGGTTTTAAAGTTGAGCTTATTCTGCCTCGGTCACGTTACAACAGGGGTAAAGTAACAGTTGTCTCAATGAAAAATCCAAAGTACCTGTGCAGATAAAATTCACTGAATCAAAGGCACAATAGCTATCTTTTTATTTGATGTCAGAAAAATAGGATGACTTTAAACTGTTAGTAAATTTTCAATGGCCTCTAATTTTAAAAAAAGGTATTCCTGAATTTATACTGACTAGGTAAGGTATTCCTGAATTTATTTTAAAATAAGTGTGGCCCCTTTTTTATATTTGAACTAGTATTCAATATTTAATGTTAACAGTATTATATTTTAGTGAAATTTATTTTGATGGTGACAATTTATTAAACTGAATTAGACTTCTTTCAATAGCTGATTTTAGAGACAATCTCAAGGGCTGGAATGTGTTGTTAAAATGAATATTGTACATTTCTGACATTAATGAGCTTACAAATTCTGTCATAGTGCAAGATGTATTAATAGGAATCTCTTAGAGGATATTTTTAAAGGAGTTACTTTATTGGGAAAATGTTCTTTAAATATCAGTAATAGTTCATTGAGTAACATAGTAGCTGAGAACCTAGACTATATTTTTACATAGCATGTCAGCTCAGACACGCCTTTAGTTTGGATTATTGGCATTCTCTTATGTAGATTTCTATCATTGTAGATATATAATTATAGTAATAAGCAATTTTCATAACCATGCTGACTCAGACTATATAATTTGAAACTGCCAGTAGCTGTGGCTCTCAGAGCCAAAGTTAATTCATTTTGTTTCCATTTTTGACAGTTCTTTTAAAGTGTTCACAAAACAAGACCAACGATTTCCTATTTGGTATAAAGAGTAAAATTTCCAACTTTGCCCCAAAAAGCCATGGGTGTTATATTTCCATATGATTATATCATACATTTAATCATGAAGGGGAAAGATTTTGGATTTTTTTCTTATTTAAAAGAAATATTAAATATAATAAGAATGTAGTTTCAAATCAATAAGTCATTAACAACACTATTGCAGCTGCATAGAGAGAACCTTTTGTGCCTTTTTGCTGCAGTAAGCATTCATTTCTATTTTACATGAGCTATAAGAATGTTGATGATTATTGCACCTTGTTCCTCTGTAAATAGACTTAAGGATTTTTTTTAAAGCTAGGAGTTGGTTTTCATTTTTAGGCAGTAAAATATGAGAGGAGATATCAGATATATGTCTTTGGAATCTAGCCTTCCTGTATAGTGAGTGGGAAACTCCTTTAGAATGTATTCATTTGTGAGTATATCTGTGTACATATATATGTATAAATAGTTATTTAAATACACAAACATAAAATTCAACATCACATTGATGTGATGACAAGAAGTAGTAAGGTGCTAGGTGGTTACATTAAAAGCACAGCAGAGTGTGTAATCAGTCATTATGACTGGTGGTTTTATAAACTAGGTTCAGTTTTTGAACCACCCAGAATACCTCATGTGTAAATACAGTGTTCATGACTTAATTGAAATACAGTTATTTTAAAAAGAATGTGAAGCCACTGGTTGGCTTATGCCTTCTCATCTATCATTTTTGCCTCTTTTTTTGTAAAGGGGTTGTTTTTGTTTTTGTTTTTTAATAGGGTTTACAGCTAGAATTTTGAATGCCAAAGTTCTATTTATTAAATTAAGAAAAAAGTTTTCAATGTTAATGGCTAGTATTTTTCCACTGGACTATTATTTGTTGATGTTGGAATTTTTATTTACAGAGAAATAAATTTTTTATAAAAAGATTTGTGTCTTCCAAGTGCCTAATGTTAATATAAGAATGTATTGGAAATTTTAGACTCTGTATTCCGAATTCTCAATGACAAGAATATGCTGACTTGACTTTTAGGTGAAAGCTTTCTATAAATACACTGGAGAATCCTTGACTAAAAACATGGAGACTTCTGCCTTCGAAGTCTGTCTTATGATTTCAGAAGGACAGTGAGATTTTCTGATGCCAGATACTGTAAATTCAAAGTCATGCCTTTGTCCATTTCAGCTGACAGCATTGTGTCACCCTTCTGAATTTCTAAAATCCCTATTTAAATCAGGGGTCTTCTTTCTAGTTTTCCAACACAAAAATCTGACTTCAGTTTTCTATACTGCTGAAAGGTTGTGCTGGTAAGTCAAATCTTTTTATTTTACCCCTTCTAATCAAAGGTTGAAAACTTACTGAAACATGTACAAATAAAGCCTTGTTATAAGGTTGCTATGCAAAGGATCTTGACATCTCAACTTTGATAATTTGTCAGTCTAGTCCCAGAGATGCCCCATGGATGGCATCCTAAGTCCTTGTTCTAACATATATGGGCTATAGCCCCAATCTCTATGGGAAGTTGGTTAATACTTTGATTAGTAGTATCTGTTTCCAGTTTAGCTAACTTGACATTGTTCTGTCAGAGTCTTTAATGAGGCATCTAATTCAGTTAACAGAGAAAGACTCACTTTTGAAATCCTGTATCACAGGCTACTTAGGTTGCAAGCAGATGTGTTAGAAATAAGAACAAAATGGATATAAATCTTAGAATATTTCTAAGGTGATCAGTAAAGAAGCTTCTCTTTCAGATGAAATATAGGATCATTTTTGATTTGGTAAAAAATTTAAAAAATGGTTTGGTGTTTTTTTTTGTGGGGGGGGGGGCTTGTTTTGAGACTGAGTTTCACTCTTTAACCCTGGCTAGAGTGTAGTGGCGTCATTGTAGCTCACTGCAACCTCAAACTCCTGAGCTCAAGCTATCCTCCTGCCTCAGCCTCCCGAGTACCTGGGACTACAGGTGTGTACCACCACACCTAGCTAATTTTTCTAGTGTAAAAAAAGAAAAGTGTTTTGTTGGGGGAGGGTTAACACAAAGCTTTTGAAAGGGCACATTCTATTGATTTTGATAATAGCTTTGAACTTCTTTTGATGACAGTTTTCACCAACCACACAGACTCTGACATTCTATGTCAGAATGCAGAAGATTCAGTTAAAAAGAGGTGTGAAATACGTCATTAGTAATGCCCCACAATAGCAGGGTGTGGATCCAGTAGAGCAGACAGTCTGCAAATGAATAGCCCTCTAAGATCGCGTCAGTTAAGGCAATTGTCTTGATTTAGAGGAAATTCCAGTCTGAGGAATGAAATTATGATAAAAGATTTCTTTTTATTAAAATCTATTTATTAAAAAGAAAAATGTTTAAATCAAACTGCTATCCTGGACAGAAAGTTGGTGTGATCACAAAAAGAAAAATCTTTCCATTTTAGCCAACCTGTTTTTACTTAAACACAGTCTCTCTTCATCTCTATTGATTCCCTCCTAAGTTTTAAAGTTCTAAACTTTATGTCTTCTATATCATCATTATTATTAATTCTTTATTAACCAACATTTGAATACATGCCTAATTAAGCAGACTTTGCATACATTATCACATTTATTCCTCTATATACATTGTGTCCCCCAAATCACCATACATAGGGAATATGGGAAATTGTATTAATAGCTACAATTTCATTACATTGGGCCCACCCAGATAATGCTGAATATTTTCCCTATAGTTCCATCTGCAATCTCAATTCCTCTTTGCCATGTAACTTAATGTATTTGCAGGTTCCAGGGATTGGGACATGCACATCTTTGGGGGAGTTGTCATTATAACTTTGATACCATGCCCTGAACAAATTAGTTGTCAAATCTTGAAGTTTCTGCTTTCTCTGTTTCTTTCACATTTGTCTTGGGTACTTCATTTCCATCTCCCTTGCTGAATATATATAACTTAGGCCCAAACTATTATAAAGCAAATGTCACATATTTCAGTTAAAATTTTTTGATTAGAACCTGAAAACCGCTATGTAAGCTACATTGTTGATCATTGATGATTCAGATATTTACTTCACTCAAGAAAAGGCTTGAGACCCCTGATTTAACATCTCAAGAAAAAAAGGATTTTTTTAATAGAGAATTTCTGAGTTTTTATATCATTAACATTTGTCAGTGCCTTGTAGGATGTGCCACACTCTGGATTTGTCTGATTCGTCATTATTAGATTTAAGTTAAACATTTTTAACAAAAATGTCATGTGGTGATGTTGTATTATCCTCATGTAGAAACTCATGATAACAGTTTATTATTGGTGATGCTAAATTACATCATGTGGTTGAACTGAAACACCTTCAGTTTTAACAGTCAGAAGAAGGACACATGAGAAGGACTTGGTTCCTGTAAGCTGGGGAGTTGGAACTAAGACATCTACGTAAAGCCAGGATGCTCAAAAGATCACATGTTCAGTAAAAAGAAGAGATCAGGAGAAAATCTGCCTCTTGGTGAAAGGAAATTAAAAGGTTATTTGGTTTTCAGGGACTCAGCTCCAGGTAGGGAGATGAAAAATATTCCCTTGAGATTATGTGACCATAATTCTACATTCAAGTAGAATGTGGTTTAAACTTGTACGTGTGGGCCAAGAAATACTAAGGCCAGAAGTTGACTTAAAGAATTCAAGGTTACTAACTCACTGGAAATGTTGGGTAAAACAAAATAAATATTCCCTACAGGGAAGCATTTTGAATTGATTCCTCACAGAATCTCATCGATTTGTCCCTTCAAACATGAGCTCAAACTCTAAAATGTTAAAAGACATCTGCACTCGAATGTTTATAACAGCACAATTCACAATTGCAAAGTTGTGGAAACAACCCGAGTGCCCATCAATACATGAGTGGATTAATAAAATGTGGTATATGTATACCATGGAGTACTATTCAGCTTTAACCACTTCAGCACGAACATCGACTATAGTCCATAGCCACAGATGAACACACACAGACTGTCGCTGACAGCCATGATATGACTTTTCTAATTTTTCATTTATCAAAATACAATTGTGAACATTTAAAAATAACGTAATGAAAACATATATGTATATGTTACCTATTCTGATTTACATTACAAGTAAAGCTGCCTGTAAAGTGAAACAAGCTTTCAGTGCTTTAAAGCTTTCCTCATCACACAAGAGCAAAACGGATTCGTCGTCAATGCACAGCACAAACTATCGTGCGGACTGTGAGTGCCGGCTGTGGGCAAGGTTTCGCGGCTGGTGAGCGCCGTACCGAAGTGGTTAAGAAACAATGGTAATATAGCACCTCTTGTATTTTCATGGATAGAGCTGGAACCCATACTACTAAGTGAAGTATCCCAAGAATGGAAAAACAAGCACCACATGTACTCACCAGCAAACTGGTATTAACTGATCAACACCTAAGTGGACATATAGGAATAACATTTATCAGGTGTTGGGCAGGTGGGAGGGGGAGGGAATGGGTATATACAATCATAATGAGTGAGATGTGCACCATCTGGGGGATGGTCACCCTTGAAGGTCTGACTCAGGGAGGGGGGCATGGGCAATATATGTAACCTTAACATTTGTACCATAATATGCTAAAATTAAAAAAAAAGAAAAAGCAGAAACCCAACAAATAACAGAGCTAGAAACTAAGTATTTCAGATAATGGAGTTATCAATGTATATTATAAAATAGGAATTACTATATGGTTAAATTTATATAAAGTTCTGAACCATGTAAAACTCATCTATGAGATTGTGACTTCAAGGAGCCCACGGGAACTTCTGGGTTTCTGGGGATGTTCCATTTATCGATCTGGGTTCACTTTGTAAAAATTCACTAAACTGTCTTGTTACAATATGTGCGCTTTATGTATGTTATAATGCAATAAAAAGTTTATACTAAATAATGAACAAGGCAACTTAGAAAAGAAAGAGAATTTTTGGAAATGAAAAATATGTTAATTAAAACTTTAAGGTGGTTATCCTGCATCTGAGGAGCTGGGATGGTATCTCTAAATGCAACCATGAAGTTGAAGGAGATAAAATGAAGGGCAAAGTCAACTATGAAAATTTAAGATGAAGAGAGCCAAAGTTGTGAAAAAAGAGGAAGCAAATTAACAGTGACCCAAATAAATCAATTTTTGCAGATGGACAGACAGGTGACTTAGTGTGCTTTGAGTAAATGAAATTACTTGTTGGTCTCCCCTGCCAAGAATTACTCCAGTCTCTTCTTAAAGGAGGAGTCCAAGAAGAAAAAGACACAAGGTGTTTGAGAAGGAGAGTCTAGCTCCCTAAGAGCCAAGGTGTGGAAACTGAAGGAACCAGTGTCCAGAAAGAGTTTAAGGTCAAAGAGGCTGAGCCGGAGCTACAGGGAGATGGCACATGTGTCCTGATCCAGAGGTGGGGGGTGGCATCAGAAAGTTTGGCTCAGAGTGTTCCAAAAAAGAAGAAGAAGGAAGGGGAAACAAATTGGAGCCTTCCCAGGGCACTATCCCAAAGATACACAAAAAAGCAAAGACATGAGGGCCTGACCAGAAAGCAGACGTATCAACTTGAAGGACCGGTTTATACCCGCATCAGTTATCTGAGCCCTCAGCTTTTTAGGTTTCTCTGCATCTACATCAATTTAAGCTCTGAATTTGACACCTGCCATCTGTGACAAACTGGACATTCGTAGGGGTGCTGAGACGGGATGTGGGAAAACTTCCTAATACAACCTAAAGAGACACATGCTTGTTTTTTTCTGTCACAGTGAAGCTGGTATTAATACACCAAGCTGCTGCTTGAATCCTTCATCAGCACACCAAAAAAATGGACAAAACTGCCAACATGACGTCCTCATGCAGAAGATTGGCATGAGGGGCCAGCCCAAGGTCATTGACCTCACAAGGAACAAGGCCACAGTGGAGATGCTAGCCAAGATCA